CAAATGAAGTCAATGTAACCAGCATTTGGCATTATCCAAGACTAGGTGGGCTGGGTAGCAGGGAGAGGATCACTGAGACTCACTCCCGGTGGAGTGGACAGGGGCTAAAGATGCCTAGTGAATGTGGTGCTAAGCTGGAAGGCTTCTGATGGCTACATTACTGTTTAAATTCATGTCATTTCTGCTGCTGCTCTGTGCTTTTCCAGGGAGGTACACATGAGTTCCGCTGAAGGATTCTAACAGCTATGGCCCCCAAATCAGACCACTCTTCATTCACCAGAAAGCTTATTTCCCATATTCTTTCTTCTCTCCAAATCTTCTGTCCTCACTAGAAGACCAACCTTGCTTGGCCATTTGTTTCATGAGTGTGAAGGAAAGAGAAAAGGAGCTCTATTTGTTGAACTCATAAAGGGAGGAGAAATGTCCTGCTGTGGGGATGAACAGATCACCGATGACCAGCATCCGCTTAGTCATGATCCAGCAGGACCACGATGTCCTACCAAATAGGAGGCAGAAAGAGGTATGGGGAATGAAAAGGGAACAGCTGGGAAACAGGGTCTAGGAAGTCCAAATTCAGAGATGATACCATCCTTTAATGTGCTCCCTTCAAATTGCTCCTTTTTAATTCTTCACTTTGCAGTCGTGGAAAAGCAAATGCAAAATCTTTTAGGAGGTAGAACATATTCTGTTAGGAAAGAGGGCAAGGCTATCCCTGATGGGTGATTTAGGGTTCTATCAGTTCTGTGACAGGACTCACCACCAACTCTTCTATGCTTTACCCTGCACATAACCCTAAGAATTCTATTTTTTAAAGTTTATTTATTTATTTTTTCCATGAGTGAAAGAACAGAGAGAAAGAGACAACATCCCCAATAGAATCTTCACATAGTCATCCACCTGCATATGGCCTCAGCCAGCCCCAGATATGGGCATGCACTTGCCCAGCAGATTCAGGGGAGACTCCAGACATGGACCTGAAACCTTCCCACTTGAGTCATCTTTGCAGAGTACCATATTTCACTGTCTAGCACCACCTAAGAATTCTTAAGGCAGATATAGCTACCTTTTCCTATCAATACCATAGATCCTTTTCCCACTTCCTAAATCAATCAGAAGCCACACACAGAAAATAAAATAATAATAGTTACTATTATTTTCAGACATGAGGCATTGAAAATAAGAAAAGCCAAGTTCTTCCAGGATGACAAATATGAGGATAAATGAGATCTACGCTGTACGCAGGTAAGGAACTGGAGCGAGTGTGTGCGGCAGGGAGAAATTTGGGGAGGGGAGCATCATGGAAAGCTCAAACATGAAGTGAAGAATGGCAAGAGGGGGCAGGGGCAAGAGGAGGGATCAAGGACCTCACGGCTGAGTGACTGTGCTCCAGAGACACCTGCTGTTCACCCTGGTTTTGGACATCAGACCCAATTATCACCCTTCATCTCTGCTCTGTGAAGTGTTCACAGTTAATCAATGACTCACCTCTGCTTCACTGAGTGTCTCTCACATGACCAGGGATGACTGGGAAGGCAGGGCAGTTTGGAGGGAACATTAACTAATTGGACGAGGAAGTGGTAAGTGAGAAGAAAGAGGCTCAGGCAATCGGGGTTCCTGAGTTCAGAGAAGGCCAGCAGCACTAGGGACCTGCTGACCTCACAGGAAAGGAAACAGCCACTGGGTGTCTATAATCGTGCAAGGGTAAACATGTAGACAGGGTGAACAGGATTACCCTATTATAAGGTCTAGGGGACTAGAGAATAAGGGAAGATCAGCTATGCTGTAAATTCTTGGTTAAGTGGACGTAATGGGGAGTTTACCACTATGCAAATCTAACTAGAAGTTGAAATGCCACAAGGCTTGGAATAAAATCCAATGATAACAGGAAGTCAAAACAGAATGAGATCAAGGGAAAATCTTAATGAACAAACGGAGCCCTGAGAGGGACAAAGCAAGATGGGGTGGTCAGGGGAGTGTGTTCCTAGGAATATGGATTTGTTGGCATTGAAGTACAGCACGTAGATTGGACTTTCTAATTATTGCAAAGAATTTAAGGTCCTAAGGCAGGTCTTGTGAGGGATTTTCAGGTCCCCTGGGTCACTGTGACTTCTCTTTTGGTGACCACTCCCAGTGGTCAGTTCTTGGGGCCAGGTGTGATGGCGGTCTTACAGTGTGGCACCCACACTTCAGGTAAGATGCAGGAACAGATCTGGAGACACCCGCTCAGACATGCGTGTCACATTTAGAAAAACATGCGTGGTCTTCTGAAGCCCTTGCTAGGTCTTCAGTGATGTCCACCCACTGCATTTCAATTCCTTAGTGTTAGCAGGAGCTTCCACTGAGACCTTTCCTCATCCATCCTTCTAGCCTCATCCTCCATTACTACTCCAGTGGAGCCCTCAACACCAAGCCTCTGAGCCTGCTGTCACCTCACATGGCCTAGGCTTCACAACCTATCAGGATCCTTCCCACTTTTTAAGGCAGCCTTAATGTCACAACCTAAATAGCTGTATGACCTCATGACAGGGACCTTCTCTGTGTCCCAGTTTCAGTGTGGCAAAATGGGGATAACTATGTGATAATTAAATGAACGAACACACATAAAGTGCTAGAGCAGCACCTGGGGCGTGGCGAATTCTATGAAAGTTCTAATTCTTTCCTCACTGTCATCCTGTGATCCAGAATAGCTGCACCCTTCAGAACACTCACGTGCCATGTGGAATAAGGTGATAACTAAATACCTCCAAGCAGGACTTACTTCCTTTCTCTCAGTTACTGTCCCCATTTAAGCTCTGCCAGTTTTTTTTTTAATTTAATTAATTAATTTATTTATTTATTTTATTTTTTTTTTATAATATGCATTTTTAGCTCTGCCAGTTTTGAAAGGAATGGGTGTACCACACCGAGTACCTTCTCGCTGGTTCTAATCCACTCATTCAGTGTTAAGTTCTCCAACAAATGTTAGCTGTGGTTTAAACATTTTTATTAAACACAAACTTTATGAAGACATAATTCATGTTCCATAAAATTCACCCATTGAAAGTGTATAAATCAATGTTTTTAATACATTCACAAAGTTGTATAGTTATCACCATAATCAATTTTAGATTACTTTAATCACCTCAAAAATAAGTCTCATACCCCTTAACTGCCATTTCTCATTTCCTCCGATCTCCCTAGCCCTGGGTAACTATTCTACTTTGTCTACTGATTTGCCTATTCTAGCCATTTTATCTAATTCCCTGGCTTTTTTGGTTTTTAAGGTTTTTGCCATAGGGCACATGTGCTGACCAGAGAGGGAGAAAGTGAGAAATCGACCCCTCCTCCTGCACCCCAGTGGGGGATGGACAAAACACAGTCCTTCTCCTACATTCTCCTCTCAGGATTTTGGGCACATACCCAACATGATTTTCTTTCTTTCTCTTTTTCTTGAGAGAGATTTTTGCTTTAGGGTACATGCACTCACCAGAGAGACAGAAAGCGAGAAATCAGCCCCCAGGGAGGATGGCCATGCCACAATCCCTTCTCCTTCATTTTCTTCCCAGGATCTTGGGCACACACGCACATGTGCACAGCATGTTTTAAGCCACCAGGTCTGTCACTCGAATTGCAGTCAATTACATGGGAGTCTAGCAATGTAACCATTATGCTATCTGCTGGTCCGTCCAATGTGATGTTCAAGCTGCCAAGTCTGGGACTCAAACCTGAGGCTGGTCATATGAGAATGCAGTGCTTTAACCTCCATGCCACCGGCTGCCCCTCCTGAAAGTTATTCTATGAGTAGCCAGGTTTGAGAACTCTTGTTCCAATGGAAACAAGAATTCTAAGCAAGAATAACTTGAATTCCAGCCATGCCAAGAGTAGTCCACAGCCAATGTTTTCAACTCTGTCTTCAGGGAAATGAATCTCTGAAGTTTCAAGAAAGCAATAAAAACTAATATTTATTTTACAAAAATGTTCAGTATAGCCAGCACTACCATTAGGCTGAACCATATGAAATTGCTGATATTTGGCTGTTTGGGGCCTATAAAGATGTAAATTTCATATCATTTGACCTAATTAAATGTATTTATTTAATGAAATAAGAGATTCATATAATACTCTAAACCACTCTCTTATCAATCACACACTCATCGTACTGGTGCTTCACATATATATTTTTTTTTTCAAAAAGACTATTTTGCAAGTATGCATCTAAGTATGCATCTCTAGTAGAATATTTTTTTTTTCAAAATATTTTGAAAGTATGCATCTAAGTATGCATCTCTAGTAGAGAATGGAAAGCAAATTGCCATTAAGGGTGACAGAAGCATAAAAATTCACAAACAAATAAAACAAACACCAACTTCATAGATAGCTTCTGCTTTGTGCCACATACTATTTTTACAAAGCATGTCATAAAAGCAAATAGCCATTAAGGGTGATAGAAGCATAAAAATTCACAAATAAAACAAACACCAACTTCATAGATAGCTTCTGCTTTGTGCCACATACTATTTTTACAAAGCATGTCATAAAGTAAACTGTCATAAAGCAAGATATATTTTTCCACAGGAAACATTTTATGATTAGGATTGTGTTCCTGACCAAGCCTCAGATAAATGATATCTCTGACATGGAAGTAAAACTGCAATAGCCCTGAACCTCTATAAACATTAAAATAACACATGTATTATTTGAGCATTATAAGATGCCCAAATTATTATTTTACCCATCCTGTCATTTTTGGGAGGCCACCAACTACTACCCATCAAAATGCACAAAGTACACATTCTTTGATCCAATTCGAGAGATTTTTCCTATAGGTAAACTGGTTCCACTCCTTCCTGCCTTCCACAACCAGTATAAAGGTCTTAGTCTAGACCACAGGCCCTGCACAGTCTCACTCAGAGGGGCCAGCACCCTGCGGGGGCCCTCTAGTCACCCACCCTTCCACCTCCTCATCGAGGCCCTGCTGTTCCTGCCAGCAGGCCGAGTGCAGTGCCAGCCTCTGAGGACAACCCTGTTCCCTGTCAGGAGGAATTTAAGGAGCTTTAGTTCTCTGGTGCAGGCTCCACAATGTCTAGTCAACTGCATTTCTGCTTTCATTCCCATCTCAGGCTGGGAATTCGGCTTCTAACCCCTTCCTGTGACCAGATCTGCTTGTGTCTCAGTCTTTACGTTCTTCATTGTATCCTGGATCCCTTCCTGGCTCCACATTTGCCCACGGGTGGCTGAATTCCACCCCCGACTCCCACCCTGCAGCTAGCAGGAGCCTGCTTTCCATTGCTACCCTTTTCTGATAACAAACACCTCTTTGACAAACATGCGGTTCACGAGTCAGTAAAGGATTCCAGATTTCTGCATATTCCTTTACTGAGCACAACACAACAGCCACAGCTGCCCTTTGCTGGTCTCCCGGGGCAGTGGGTCTTTGGGAAAGTAACAACACATGATTTTAAAACTGTTGTTCTCCATCAGGGGTGGTTTTTGCCCCAGAAGACACACAACAATGTGTGGAGATATTTTTGATTGTCATGCTACTTGCACCTTCTGCGTGAGGTCCATGATGCTGGTGAACATTCTACAGGGCACAGGGCTGCCCTCGCCACTGGCTGAAGCTGAGGACCACTGTTTCAGAGAAATCTGGAGAACCTTCTGCAGAACTACCAATGGAATCACACTGAAAATTATCAACAGAGAGGATAATGCTTCTGTCTTCAGTAAAAAATCATTTCCCCCTCTACTTATCAAAATTCATACTTAGTGTAGAAAATAAAGAAAAGCAAAGGATCACAAGTGATGCCATTGTCACTGTGTATTTTTATACCATATGGCTGTGATCAAATTATGTACAATTGACGTCCTGCTTTTTCTACACAATGTGCTAATAAAGCACAGTCCGATTAGAAGAAACAGTTTCACATTCCTAGACGCTCCTCAGCTTCACTTTCATTGCTAGGTGAGATTCCTCGCCACGATCAAACCATGGTGCAATGAACCATTCCCTTACTGGTGTAAATTTCAGTTTTCAGGTTTTTACAATGATAAAAGCTGTTGTGATATATTTATTTGTGTATAAAACTTTTTCTATGTGTGTGATTATTTTGCAGCAAAATGGCTAGGTGGAGACTCAACACCTGTCTTCTGACTCAGAGTTTAAGAGAAAAACTAGGCAAGGGGCTGAATAAGCTGTGTGGGGAGGCAGATGGGTTTACACTTTGCAGTGCTGGACTCTAGGGGAAGGCCCTGAGTTTGCATCCTGAGGCCTCCTTGTACATGCTGGTGCACACGTGTGTCCATGAGCTGGGCTGACTGAGGCTGAGGGTGGAGCGTAGTATAAAGACTCTATAGAGGCTGTCTGTCTTTCTCTCTTAGAAAAAATAAATAAATAAATAAACATTAAAAATAAAATAAGTAGCTCAGTGACAACATGAAGCAGGGATGAGTCTGTGAGCCAGGGCTGAGGCTGGGGCTCTGGGCCTTCCTGATGCTTCCTTTGGGGGCACATGTGGGTAAAGCACGTGAAGGCAGCACACTGCAGGAGCACACGGGCTCCCACCTCACCTGGGGAGGGTGGGGTAGAGGCCAGGAAGTCTTACCAATGGGCTGGGATGCTCCTTCCAGGACCAGAAGATCCTGCTACTGCACTTGCCTTCTCTTCCCTGCCCTGCCCCGCCTCGGAGCTGGGATCAGAGCTGGATGATAAGGTTGGAGAACTCTGGTCTGTATTATAGAAGTGAGAAAAGCAATGGTGGAACCTTGGTTTGTGGGTAAAAATCTCCACGGTGGGTTAGACCCCAGCCCAGGGCTTATCCCAACAGTGGAATCAAATGTCTAATGCAATGATTTGTATGTATTTTTTTCTTATTTTAAATAACAGAATTTTTTGTTTTCCCAAGGGAAATATATGGAAGCCCAGAACTTAGGAGAGGAAAGGGATGGAGTGATTCTGGTTTAAAGAGAAATAAAGGCAGCCCGGAATGGCCTCCTCACACTCCTGAGATACCTTCATGGGCCCCAGGGTTGTGCGACGGTTGGACTTCTTGACAGCAACAAATGGCTGAGCACCTAAGCGCTCTCACTACCTGAGCCAGTGGCAATTCATTATCATGCAGTTTTCTTAATACTTTTCAAAAAATCAATTCCACCTGTCCACCCATACCATACTTAGCTACAGAGCCTCCTGTAGACATGCCACTTTTGGAAGGACCACTTACTAGCTTTCTCTGGTCCTAAATTCATTCTGCTCTACCGTCAAAAAGTATCTTTGTAGAAGTTACGCTAGAACTGTTTCTGATTTGATAGGCTTTGCTCACATCCTCCTCCTCCTTTCCAGACAGAACACTCTGAATCTGTTTAGTCTGTTCTCATTGCAGGATTACATGCAAGAATGTATGTAAAGCACCAAGCGAGGGAAGTGGCATCAAGGAGGTCAGTGAATATCATGCCTCTGTCCCTACTCCTACTGCCTTATCATTTAAAGGGTTCTTGTTTGGCTTTGCCTTCCATCATAATCCTGCTTTTTAAAAACCACACTCATGGCTGTGCCCTAAGTAAGGGGGACATTATGGGAGCCTCTTTACACACACAGTCAAATAGTAACACTGCCACATGAACCCTAGCTGGCAATGTCTAAGTGTCACTGCAGCTAGGAACATACAGCTTACTCTTCTCTAAGTGGCCCCTAACTCTCTTTGATATTAATATTATACCAAAGACACCTTGGTCTGTATAATAATCTCCATTATCATTTGCATAGTTAATGATAATGGGGGTGGGGTGGGTGTGGGTGAGGAAGTTGGGAGGAAAAGAGGACAGGGATCGAAGGAGAGGGGACGGAACAAGTGAAAGAGAGAAAAGTGGGTGAGTGAGCAGGGACGACTGGATGTAGCTGAGCAGCATAGGAAGAGAAGCTTACTCTATTCAAGAGGCATGACAAGTGGAAAAACTGGGATGTTGGAATTGCTAGGATGGGAGCTGGCAATACTTCCTGAATTTGTGCAGAGGGGCAAAAAATCACAGGGAATCTGAAGACACTATTTGTGGGAGGCAAAATGGACATAACTTTTTAAGAGGATCATCCATCGGTATCCATCACAGTTTTGAGTGTGCATACTCTTTACACTCAGCAAATTCATTTTTAGAGATCTGAACTATAGAAATATTTAACATTGCACACACGGTTGCACCAAGATATTCATTCCAGCATTGTTCCTAAGGGGAAAATCTTGGCACTAGCCTAAGTGTTCATTCACAAGGACTGACGAAATAAATAACGGTGAATCCACGTAGTGGAATACCAGGCAACAGTGAAAAAGAATGATGTAGCAATATATGTACTAGCATGAAAAGATTGAAACATACAGTAAGTCCAGGAGATTGAATCAGTAATAAATAACCTCCCAATAAAGAAAAGCCCTGATCCTGATGGTTTCACCTCTGAATTCTACAAAACGTTTAAAGAAGAGTTAACCCCCATTCTCTTCAAGTTATTTCTAAATATCCAAAAGGGTGGAACTCTCCCAAATTTATTCTATAAAGCCTCAATCACCCTTATCCTTAAAACAGACAAGGACAGGACAAGAAAGGAAAACTATAGACCAATATCGCTGATGAATATAGACACAAAAATTCTCAATAAGATACTAGCAAATCATATCCAACAACATATAAAAAAGATTATACATCACGACCAGGTAGACTTTATTCCAGGGATGCAAGGTTGGTTAAACATATGTAAAACCATAAATGTAATACACCAGATTAACAGAAAGATAAAAACTATATGATGATATCAATTGATACAGAAAAGCATTTGATAAGATACAACATCCTTTCATGATCAAGACTCTCAGCAAAATCGGCATAGAAGGGTCATTTCTCAATGCAATAAAAGCTACCTATGAAAAAACCATAGCTAACAACATCGTGAATGGGGAAAAACTGAAAGCCTTTGCACTAAAAACTCATACAAGACAAGGATGTCCACTTTCCCCACTCAGTATAGTACTGGAAGTCCTCACTGATGCAATCAGAAAAGAGAATAAAATAAAAGGCATTTAAATAGGAAAAGAAGAGGTGAAATTATCTCTATTTGCAGAAGACATGATTACATATAAGAATACGTAAGTATACATAGAAGACCCAATGGTATCCATGAAAAAAATTCCTGAAAGTAATACATGAATAGAGTAAAGTTGCAGGATACAAAATCAACATACAGAAATCTATAGCATTTCTATATACAAACAGCAGGCAGACTGAGATAGAACTGAAGAAATTAATTCCATTCACCATAGCTACAAAAAGCAGAAGATATCTAGGAATAAATCTAACCAAAGAAATTAAAGACCTTCACAAGGAAAACTATGAGAGGTTAAAAAAGGAAATTGAAAATGACACAAAAAGTGGAAGGACATCCCATGTACCTTGATTGGAAAAATGAATACAATCAAAATGGCAATTCTACCCAAATTAATCTACATATTTAACACAATCCCAATCAAAATTGGCACAGAAACAGGTGGACCAATGGAACAGAATAGAGACCCCAGAAATAAACTCCCACACACAGCCAACTGATTTTTGACAAAGGGTACCAGCCAATCCAATGAGAAAAGGAAAACCTCTTTAGCAAATGGTACTGGAAAAACTGGACATCCACCTGTGGAAAGATGAATCTGAACCCCTACCTCTCGCCATTGACAAAAATCAACTCAAAGTGGATCAAAGATCTAGACCTCAGACTTCAAACCAAGAAATTACTGCTGGAAAACACTGGGGAAACTCTGAGAGACATTGGGGTAGGTAGGCAAAGACTTCTTAAATAAGACCCCTTCAATAATCCCAAAAATAGACAATAGATAAGTGGGATTACATCAGATTACTGATGTTACTTTTCATACTTCTATAATATATTATTTACATTTGTAATTAAAAATAAGTTAACAGGAGAGCTAGCCATGGCACAGTGGTTATGGGCATGGCCTGTGGACCCAACTACTTGAGTTTGAATCCCAGCTCTGCCTTATCTTAGCAATGTTGACCTTAGAGGGGTAACTTAACCTCTCTATGACTCAGTTTCCTCATTTGTAAAATGTAATAATGGCAGTACCAAACTTATAAAGTTTTCATGCCAATGACATGAGTTAATACTTCTAAAGAGGTTAGAAAAGCCTTTCCATATAAACTCAGTCAAGTACTTATTGGTAAATGCTCAATTAATTTTTAGCCTAAAAAAGAATAATTAAGTTATGTTTAATTACCTGAGTGCTAAAGGGGGAAAGTGGGTAAATGGGAAATATTAGTGACCGGTGATAAAGAGTTTTGAATGCCAGACTAAGAGGTAAGAATTAATTCATGCAGAAGGAAGTAAAAAGCCTTTCATTCATTCAACAAATACTTATCAAGTGCTTTCTATGTACTGACACCATTCTACAGATGGTTGCGATACACTGGTGAATAAAATGGTTGATGACCACAGTTTAGAAAAGGGCCAAGGTAATCAAGACTGGCTTTGGGACATGATGGGCATGCCTTTTTTTTTTTTTTTTGAGAGGTTTTTGCAATAGGGTGCATGCGCTCACCAGAAAGACAGAGAGAGACAGAGAGACAGAAAGCAAGAAATCACCCCCCAGGGGGGATGACCATTCCACAATCCCTTCTCCTCCATTCTCCTCTCAGGATCTTGGGCACATACACACACGTGCCTGGCGTGAGTTTAAGTCACTGGGTCTGGGACTCGAACTGCGGTTGACTACATGGGAGTCCAGTGACATAGCTGTTCCACCAGCTGCTGGCCCCAATGGGCATGTCTTAAAGTGCTGTGTGTGTATATGTTTGGGGGAGATGATAAAAAAAAAAAAAGACTGGGGATTACCAGCCCATTGTTTGGGTGAACAGTGATAAGGGCTCTATATACAAAGGGAACCAGGCCTAACTCCTGGGAGAGATGTCTAAGGCCAAAGATACCGGGCAGGGCATCCCTGCTTGTCTGAGCTGTGACTGATCTAGAGGGGTCAGATGGGGAGCTGTGGTGGCCCGAGAGCCAGGGAATACCACCTTTCAGAGTTCATTCCAGCCTTGGCGGACTCAGCTAGCCTGAAGGCAGACTGATTCCAGTCCCTGTGCATCACCACCAAGTGGAGAGACCCAGGAAAATGCAACTCTCTGGGCCTCAGAAGCCTCTTATACAATGAGAAGGTCATCCTTGACAACCTCTAGGGCGCTTGTTGACTGTAACATTCTATATTCTCATGTTGTCACAAAGGTGAATAACTAGGATTTCCTTTCCCATTACTAACATATCTTATTTCACAGTCTAAAAAGAACTTTTAAAACATAGGATTCAGAGTGTAGGATAATGTGTGAGAAGACTGTTTACATTTGCTTCCTTTTTGAGAAAGCCCATGTTGAATTTTAAGCCAAATGTATGTGTCCAGGTCTGAAAATAGGTTACTCAAATAATTTCATTCCATACGTGCAGCTGCTCCAAAGTATAAGCCACACTCGTCTAGTAAAACCACCATCTGTTCTATAAGGAATATAAGCATCCATGTGACCTTTATTTTTAGAGAGGTCAAATACACAAAAGGTGAAATGTCATTGAGTCTATTTTGCCAGATACAGACAGGGGGCTGAAGCCAGTTATAAATCATAATATCTGAATTTGTAAGTATTTAAATTAGATGGCTTAAAAGATCAAAAACATAAAAATAAATCATAGAATATCAAAGTGGCAAACGGAAGCTGCAAAAGGCCATGTTTCATTTGTTCTTTCATTTGAGAAATCAATCTCACAAAATAAACCACCAGAATAAACAGCTCTGATTCATTTCCCATTGCTTGTTCTAGCTAGGCTCTTTTTTGTCCCCCAGGGTCAGGGAATACATGAACTTCATTCAGGCTTACTCTCTGTGTGAGAAAAAATCTGGCATGCAGATAATCAATTTTAAGTTAGAAAAGTTGTAGTTTTCTACGACCCACAAGTCAGAGATACTGAAGCCAGGCTACCTGATGTCATCTCTGCCACTCACCAGCTGTGACTCTGGGCAAGTCACTTAGCTGCTTTCTGCTTCAGTTTCCCCCTCCTAGGGCTGTGATGAGGATGCTACTATTTGTCCGCTGTGTAGAACAGTGCCTGCTGTATAGTAAACACTATGTATGTGTTTATAAAATATAAACCTTAGTTGCTAACAGCAACACAGGCAGCTGAGAGAGGTCGCACACTGACTCTCCTACAGGACACCTCCTTTCTGTTCATCCTGTTCGGCTCATGAAAGCACCACGGAAAACCATACATTAGACCAGACGAGAACCAGCTGTTCTTCATTTTTACTTAGGAAAGGCCAAGAGGAATTCACACTGAAAAACCTCCTGCAAGGATGGCTAAAATCAAAACGACTCTCCCCCTTATAAAGGAGGTTCAAGTTTGTTGGTGGATGGAATGAGAATGCCCTGGCGGAGTGCCCACCAGCCTCAGAGTCTGTCATTTCAACCACCTGTTTGCCTGAGTTATTTGAATGCATTTTATTCTTAGCTGATCTGGTGTGTAAGATGTAGTGTGTGTGTGTGCGTGCGCCTGCAAGCAAAGTCATGGTGGGAGAGAGCCTAACAGCTCAGGAGGCAAGTGCTTCCAAAGCTCAGAGTGATTACCTAAAGCAAATTTCTCGAGCCTCAATTACTGGGGCTGAAAAATGATGCGGATGTGAATCTGAAAGAAACGAAGGGTCTTGACAAGTGATGTTTTGGGTGCTCTTTTCTGGATGAAGACCTGTTATTCAGAGTGCCTGGGATGGTTTGTTTTTAGCAAGATTGCTCCCCTGTGGGCCAGCCAAAGGGCTGCTGCCGCTCCCTTGAATACAGACACGTCCTCGGAGTGTTTGGTAACATAAGAAATGAAGCACACAAACATTGGCGTCAGGCTCTGGTTCAAGCCCCAGCTTCGCCACTCACTATCTTACGACTATAAGAAAAAACTCTAAGCCTCAGTTTGCGTATGGGGAAAGTGGTGACAATGACAATAGCAGCATTTATCTTAGCGGGTGGTTGTGAGGAATCGTTGGGAACACTCAAAGCTTATTAGCACGATGCCTGGCAGTCAGTGCTCATTAAACAGGTTTCTCGGTACCAAGTGTTCCTGTGCCCCAGCGAGGAGTTGGGTATCTTTGGATTATGATGGGCAGTTTATTAGCTGGTTTTTATATTGGTCTTTAAAATCCCCAGCGAGAATCCTTTTAAAACATGCCTTCTGCCTCCTCCACGATTCTTCTTTTTTTTTTTTTTTTAAATTTCAAAACAAAGCTATTTTTTGAAGTAAGTCTGAGTGGTTACCTATTATTCACTAGAAGAAATTCCAGGGCTTTCAGCAGTATTTCACGTCAGGATGCTTTAGTCAAAGAGCTGCCTGTTCTGTTCTTTCTTCCCCTGGACAGTCTCTGGGAATGTGTGGGGCTTCTCCTACCTCCCACCAAGCTTGTGGGTGGAGGCGTAAGAGTGCAGCCCAGGGCAGGGTGGGGAGGATTCGGTCAGGAGAGCCAGTGTGGGGGGCAAAGCTCAGAGTGATTACCTAAAGCAAATTTCTCGAGCCTCAATTACTGGGGCTGAAAAATGATGCGGATGTGAATCTGAAAGAAACGAAGGGTCTTGACAAGTGATGTTTTGGGTGCTCTTTTCTGGATGAAGACCTGTTATTCAGAGTGCCTGGGATGGTTTGTTTTTAGCAAGATTGCTCCCCTGTGGGCCAGCCAAAGGGCTGCTGCCGCTCCCTTGAATACAGACACGTCCTCGGAGTGTTTGGTAACATAAGAAATGAAGCACACAAACATTGGCGTCAGGCTCTGGTTCAAGCCCCAGCTTCGCCACTCACTATCTTACGACTATAAGAAAAAACTCTAAGCCTCAGTTTGCGTATGGGGAAAGTGGTGACAATGACAATAGCAGCATTTATCTTAGCGGGTGGTTGTGAGGAATCGTTGGGAACACTCAAAGCTTATTAGCACGATGCCTGGCAGTCAGTGCTCATTAAACAGGTTTCTCGGTACCAAGTGTTCCTGTGCCCCAGCGAGGAGTTGGGTATCTTTGGATTATGATGGGCAGTTTATTAGCTGGTTTTTATATTGGTCTTTAAAATCCCCAGCGAGAATCCTTTTAAAACATGCCTTCTGCCTCCTCCACGATTCTTCTTCTTCTTTTTTTTTTTTTTTTAATTTCAAAACAAAGCTATTTTTTGAAGTAAGTCTGAGTGGTTACCTATTATTCACTAGAAGAAATTCCAGGGCTTTCAGCAGTATTTCACGTCAGGATGCTTTAGTCAAAGAGCTGCCTGTTCTGTTCTTTCTTCCCCTGGACAGTCTCTGGGAATGTGTGGGGCTTCTCCTACCTCCCACCAAGCTTGTGGGTGGAGGCGTAAGAGTGCAGCCCAGGGCAGGGTGGGGAGGATTCGGTCAGGAGAGCCAGTGTGGGGGGTGGGCATGCAGGTCTTGGCCTTGGCCCTTCTGGTAACTAGCTGAGTGACCTTGGACAGGTCACTTAAGAGCTCTGGACTATGTTGTCTTCATTTGTGACATGAAGGGGCTGGCCATGGGCCAAAACCAAGAGGGAGGGTAATCAGCCTTCAGCAGCTATCAAAGAAAGGCAAAGGAATACAAAAACATCATTTTTACATTCAATAAAGTAAACATCTAAAAATTAAAGTCCTCGGGCTGGCTTATGTTTTACATAGTAATACAAGCCTGGCAAGTCGCTACAAGTGTTTTGGATTGAAAAACACACTTCATATTGTGTCCTGTGACATAAAAACGAGATAAACTTGGGGGGGAATCCTCACAATTTACTAGTTTCAAGAATCAACCTTTTGGAGACCATTAGGATACAAGACAAAATGTGGACAGAAAATAACTGCCTCTCGGTGGGTTGTGGTGCATTTTGGAAATAATGTAAGAAACAGGCCGAGCCTCACGTCTGGCGTTTAACACATGTGTATTGTTGCTGCTGTGATAACAGCGACAATGAGGATGGAGACACTGATTCTGCACATCTGGCTCTTGTCATACTGGCACAGGAGAGAGAAGCGGCACTCTTCTCCTGCCTGACCGTCTTCCTCGGACTTCTCAGCAGGCAGAGCAGCCAGGTGCTCCCCTGGACCACCATTACTCAGTGGCCACAGCTTCAGAGTCCCCAGCAACATCTCCCGTGGCACGCACACCAATCACCATGAAGACGGTCAGTGCCACCTGGCCCATAGCGTTGTCTCAGATCCACGACTGCCTTCCTGCCAGACCCCTCCAGCGCCCACGCTGAGCAGGGAGCGACATCCTCCTCTGTGCCCACAACCTCCGCTGCAGCCCTGACACCAGGGAGCCCCTCAGAGAGCAGCCTCTCAGTTTACGCTGGCTGCCACCATCACACTGGCTGGTCCTCCCTTGCCAGCCTCTGTCCACCCCGTGTACCTAGTCTCTTGTTTTCAAATATCCGTTTGCTTCTGAGGACGGTTTTCTCCTGTTCCCGAGATGCCTCCTGTGATTCATTTCTTATTTGTTGGTAACTCAAGCCCAACATCCACCAGGGTTGCCATAAAGTCTTTATCTATTCAATATCAAAGATGTCTCTTCTCAAATGTTTCTTTGAATTCTTTCTCAATACCAGGTTCTGTCCCTGTTCCCATTCTGCAACCTAATAAGGACTGAAATCTGTTTTCAGTAGTTACATGATTTTTTTTTTCCCCCTCAGCTTTAAAAATAATTTCAGAAGGCCAGAGAACTAAGGATCTAAAAGGACTTTGTAGCGTCCTTGTTTCATTCATGAGAAAACCAAGGCCCCAAGGGCAGAGCCATGTACTGGTCACGTGGGTGGCACCAGGTCAGTGACTCCCAGGACGTGCTCCTTCTACTCTGCGGCTCTCATGGCCCATTTGCTCACTAAGCCAGGCCCACATTCTCTGAGGCCGGGCTTCCAACAGATAATGACTTGCTTCCTCTATGGGGAATCCTGCAGAGACAGAGTCCCACAGGGGTCCCAAACCCATCATGGCCTCATTCCTCTCTCTCCCTCTGGGCTTCTGTAAATGCTGTTTCCTCTTCCCAGAGACTAAGGCTAAGTTGCACTCAGTCTTTACGTGCTTTCCCCAGGAAGCCCCACCTGAGCCTTCAATTCCAGGCAGGGAATTCCCCCGTGTCCCCTGTGTCATTTACCCCCTTCTGAGCTGCAATGGCTCACTAGTCTTGCTATATACCATGCCAATGTGCATCCGTTTCCCTGTTTTTTCTGGTGT